ATTCAACCCGTAATTAATACGTCCTAAACCTAAAATCCAATCTTCTTTGAGTACAAACAGGAAGCTGCGAGCACCTTCGCTAGCCGCTGTGGCTACTCTTTGAAATTCTCATTATAGAATTTTCGAGGGGCCTTGGAGTACTTTGGTTCAGCGTCGAAGCTGGCTGCTTGGCTCTGTTAGAATTGTTATCGATATTATTATTATTATTGTTGTTGTTGTTGTTGTTGTTATTATCTTTTTTCTTCTTTTTCTGAGTATTCGCATGGGCCATGCCTGAATGAGGCGCGTGGGAGGCGTGGTTTAGAGAGTGAGGTTCCCTTTCTCGTCGCGGATAATTCATGGGATGAATAGTTGGTCTCCAAGTTCTGAACTCACTGATTCAGGAGATTCCGAGTTCGGAGTGGAGGTTTGTCGTAATTTGGATTTCGGTTTGAGTTTGGGTTTGGGTGAGGCAAATTTGATGTTAAATTTGGTGGTGGTGGAGGAAGAAGAGCATGTAATGAGGGTGCGGAGGTGGCGGTGGGCGATTTGGGACAGGAAAGTGGACCTGGAAAGGCGGAGGGTGGTGAAAACATAGGTAGTCGCCGCCATCTGCGGTGGTGATCCCGTTGAGTGTTGAAGATAATTTCACGTCATTTTTTTTTTTTGAATCGTCATTTTGAGTGTTTGTCACTTTTTTAAGTTTGTCACTTTTTTTTGAATTTTGTCACTTTTTGAGTATTTTTCACTTTTTTATTGTCTGTCACTTTTTTAATCTGTATAACTTCTTTTAATTCACTTTTTTAAATTCGACACTTTTTTTGAATGTTGTCACTTTTTTTAATTGTTTATCACTCTTTTCAGTCATCTTCTTGATTTATATCACTTTTTTTAGTGACAAACATCATTTTTTTTAATAAAAGTGACATTGTATGTCATTTTTTAATAAAAAAGTGACACTTAACTTTAAAAAGTGATAGTAAATCACTTTTTCAATGTCACTTTTTTTTACCGTGTCACCTTTTCTATTAAAAAAAGTGACAATTGATTTTACACAGTATTTTTTCTTTCAAAATATATTTCATATGATTTTTCAAAAGACTCTTACTTTTAAGGGTATTTTTGTTAGTTGCCCTAATAATAATTAAAAAAAAGTGGAAATTACAATGCAGCATATATTTAAAAATAACACTTCAAAAATAAGATATGAAGCAAATTTAATAAAAATTAGGTGACAATTTAATATTTTAATGTTATTAATTACATTATAAATTAATATATATAATCACATCCCCAACCCAATTAAACTCTCAAATCCTAATTCATCTCTCTCTCTCCCTCTCTCACTCTCTCACTCCCCCCACGCGTCGGAACCGTTGTCTCCGCGCCCAATCGCTTCTCCGACCAATAACACAGTAGCGACTACCACAATCTCTTCTGTGACCCTTGCGTGACATTCTTCGATTCAACTTTGGAGCATCCACTAGGTCCATTCTTTTCATCATCATCGAATAGATGAGCAAAGGATCTCCAATCTGACTTGACTTCGCATGACTTGCATCGTTGCTCAATAAAGTTGCTATAGGAAGCTTGGCATTTGGAAGTGGTGACCGACTAGTAGCAATGGAACTGTAGCGAGAAGGAAACGACAATGTCGGATGTGGACGAATCCAGACCAGAGAGTCGTTTACAAAGATAAGAAGCTTGATGTCGTTGATTGGTTCATTGGATTTGAGCTCGAGTTGGCAAGATTCAGATATGTTTGAGAGTCATTTAGAGATGTGGTTTTTGTTGGCTGTGGATCTAGCTGTGGCAGTTGTGTTGATGGTGGTGATGTGGTGTTGGTGTTGGTGTTGGTGGCGAGATGTGATGGGTTGAAGAGTGTTTGTGACCAATTATATGGTTAATTTGTGAGTAAGTGTTAGTAGTGGATTGAGATTGAGGGTGGGGGTGGGGGTGAAGTGTTTGGTGTATGCGATCAACTATTTGGTTATTTGTGACCAACTATTTAATTGTAACCTAAAAATTCGATAATTTGTGACAAGCTAATTTGAAAATTGGTGACCATTAAATAAGTTGTGATGTATAAAAATTGTGATTTGTGACCTATAATATTTTTAGTTTGTGATCGAAAAATAATATGTGACCATTTAATTTGATAATATGTGAAGTATAAGTATGTAATTGTGAC